CGGCATACAATCAATAATAAAGAAAATTTCATTTAACAAAGCTGTATTTGACATCCATTGTGAACGTAATTGCTAATCATCCGAAATATCCACGGAACTTTTAAATACCACACGTACCTGGTCGGTCGGAAACATTTTAATCGATCGGTTTCATTACGGTAGGAATTTTTAATCATGTACTGTTTAACCACCTGACGAATGTGTTCATTGAATAAAATTAATGTAAAACGAAATGAATATTTGTTTAGAAATCGATTTTGTATGATTTTTGTATCACTGACAGAAACTAGTGAAACTTTTTATGTTTTGAAGATTTTCTACCTAAATTTTGAAAACTTCAGTGATGTACACACATAGCTAGCAGAGTAGATGCACATTTTACTTATGCTTCAACAAAAGTCAAAAGTATCTTTGACCATGCGGGAATTTTTAGAGGCGTAAGATAAAATGTTGGTTAACTCTTTTCTCAATTCGTAGTTGAATGTGTTTGTAGCAAATATCTCAAGATGGACAGTTGTTGTGGGTGTTAGATGAACAAGGATGACTAATTTTGTTACAAATAGAACGCGTGTAATTTTGCCTATTCCCTCGACTGTAAAGGAAAGGGTCTTATCGAGTTAAAATGCCTGTATGTTTGTATGTATGTCCGTAAACATAAGCCGTGGAAAAATCTTGCGCAGTAACAGCACAACTACTCAGAATTAGTAAGGCTGTTGGCCACAGCATAGTTTTTATTGAATATATTTCTATAGTTGGTAGTGTGGTATAATATCAGTGAGATCAAAAAAGAATCATTTCTTTCTGTCCACACATCTATCATCAAAATGTCACCATTGTCGGCACAAGCACTATTATAACATGTTGTAATGTTTATGAAGAAAAATAATATTATTCACGCCAAGCCAACGCTATTTTTCACTATTGGAAAAGCTCTGATATGAACACATTACTTCCTGTCTACTGGAGCCTGACACATGTCTGAAACGTCTGACTTGACAGCTAAAAATCTTGATCGAAGTTTTTTCGTATGTGTATTACATAAGTATGGAAAAAACACATATATGTGTATATATATATATATATCACAGCTAGCACAATAAATGCACAGTTTACTTATGCTTCAACAAAAATCAAAAGTATCTTCGATCGTGCGGGACTTTTTTAGAGGAGTCAGATATTTCGACAGTATTTCATCGTAAATCGTCGTTTACAATCGTACAAATTGGACGTCGGGTTTTTACAATAAAATTCAATACATATCACCGGATCGACAAATTTTAAAAGCTTGTTCGGTCAAAACCGATTGGAGATTCGTGTTCTCCATGGTTGATTATGTGGTACGCAGTAACTTTTGGATCGGGATACTTTAGAAAATAAATTTCCCATGGTCTTGCTCAAAACGTTTTCAAAAACTTACCGTATGGGACCAAAGGCAAAACGAGATCGAAAAATGTTTCTAAAGTACCCCGATCCAGAAGTTAACGCGTACCACATAATCAACCATGGAGAAGACGAATCTACAATCGATTTTGACCGAACAGGCTTTTAAAATTTTTCGATTCGGTAATATGCGCGTTTTCATTAAGCATCAAGGCAAAAAGAAATCTCTCAAAGAGAGAGGCTTGGATAACGTTTTGAACGTAAGAAATGAGCTTCACACGACGGGTCAGAATAAAATAGTTGGGGCAAGACAAAATTTCACTACTTATTCTGGGAAAGTAAAACGCCAATAATGTTTCTCCGAAATAGCAACAGACGTACGGTCTTCACCAATAAGTTCAGCGCACCACACTTTACAAAATCCATGCTATCTCGCCGCTGGCGAGGACACTTTCGCAGAATGCGATCGTTCAGCGTCATCGACAACCAGAACACAAAAAACACTCCGCTATGCATTATGAGCATGTGTAGATAGAAAATAAGGGAAAACTTTGATTTATTTACAATTTATTTAATTTACAGAACGTGGCTGAAATTCAAACGTTTTATTGTTTTCTTTGACATAGTTGAATAGACCTCATCAAATTACTTAGGAAAAACTGGATCTTTGCTATCTAAAAGTTATTTTTAGGCAAAAACATTTGTAAAGAATGATTTTTTGAAAAGACTCAAAAAACTGTCACTTTTTCGAAAATAAGCCAAATTTTAATGTTTTCTGTTCTTTTAACCCTTGTACTCCCAAGCCTATTTTAGACACCACAGATAGAATGCATTCACAGAATGTGTTTCATACTTCGATCCACGCAAAAAAAATTTCATTTCATTTTCTTGTTTTTTTAGAACAGGGTCTAAATAGACCTTGGTTGGTAGTACAGGGCTTAAAAGTCCAAAACTATTCTTTTCTTATTTTACATAGACAACTGAGTGCAAAGATCTAATTTTGGCATCGTGGAAATGTAAACTAAGCGCGAGAGCCATGGAATACGAACACAACCTTAAAAGTGTCCCTGTATATCTTGCAAACCTCTCTACCCCGCAAAACTTCTTAAACGGAGTTTCCGAGAAGGTCTTTGGGAAACCAAATCCTCGCTGGGCACGTTTTCGTAGAAATATTTTGGTTTTCTCAATAATAGGTTGGGTGAATCGCTCCTTCTTAAAGTGGGTCTTGAAAACTCATTTTAAGAAGTAATTAAACTCAGTTTCTTTTGAAAATGACTATTGGTTAGTGAAAAGGTATTAGGCACTAAAACTATCTTGATTAGTTTTCTATCTTGTTCAATTTATTCAGTAACAAAATACTCCCAAGTATCTTCGTGAAAAATTCAGCTTTTTAGATATATCTCTGGATATCCGAGAAAGGATCAGAAAAGAGACTAATGACATCACAAGAACCGGTCAGAACATAGTGTCAGTAGGATCGGAGAGAATATGATATTTACTACTGCTAGACTAATGAAGTGAGTAAAATTGGAAGGAAAAGAGTGACTATAAATACAGGATCTCTTTTATTATTCTAATTCAGATATGTGAGTGAAACGTATAGCCATGGAATCGTCCTAATCGGAAAAAATAAATAATCTTTTTTGTATTGCACGGACTCTCTTAAAAATTGTTTAAATCTAAAGTCCTAATTCTTGCCTACACCTAGTAAATAAACGAGCTTTTTACCGTGATTCTTTTGCAAGATATCACAACTGCATTGCCGGTAGTCACTGTTTCGGGCGCCACCTCTCGCGACAAAATTTCACTCAACAGACATAGAGTTGAAGCCTTCGCTTTTTTCAGAATGTTCGCCTTTCGACGCTGAATCCGAATGTGCTATTTAAAATGTTCCGTGTCCTAACGGTGATTTTCAGAACACTTTTAATTCAACTAATGTAGTCCAAAAACCACGGTTTCCTGGAAGTCCTACTTCCAAATGTTGGAGAAAACTTAGTAGAGACAAAACGAATGAGAACCTCGAGAAACCCTTATAAACCGGAGGACATCTTCAGAGTATAGTGGGATTCGGAGATCGTTTTCTCGTGCAGGACGCCTATTAATGGCCTAAAAACGAGTTATTAAAGAGGAGCGCTTTTACCGTCAAGCGTATTTCCTTATAATAGGGGATAAGGTTTTCCAAACACGAATAACTTATAAAAAGATGTAAAATGCGACAGAAATACTCTGGAAAATTTACACAAATCACTTATAAGATTGGATCTCTAGGATTGCAGCTAAAGGGGTGGGGCCAGGCCTGTAGCCAGGGAGGTGCCCGTTGTGCCCGGGCACACCCTATAAGGAAAACTTGCTATTTAATTGCTATGAAAACGGCGTATCAGGTTCACCAAAAAATGAGCAGAACTATGTTTCTCTCACATTTACTTAGCTAACCAGTTGTTTTTTGTCTATCTTCGACAAAATACAGAGGTGTACTTAGACGCACAGCATGCTTCCTTTTGAGATAGCCTGTAAGAAACAGGCAAGAGATATCTACATTTTTTTCGCGCGCTTCATTGATGCAAACCGGTGTGAAGATCCTGTTAGTTTTCTGAACCGCTCGCTGTCGCACAGTCGGCTACACTGGAATCAGAACCGGTACAACCAAAGAACAAAATGCAAGAAAACCGGTATATCGATTTACATCTGTAGTGCACCCCCCTTAGCAAAATCCTGGCTACGGGCCTTAGTGGGGCATTAGAATCGCACTAGATGTTAATGCAGTGTTCTGTCACTTCCTATTCATAAAAAATTTCCTTTATATGCCAAACGATAGAGAATTTAATTCTCTAAAATCTGTATATTCGTTGGACGAAACGACCTCGGAAAATTAACAGAGTGGATCCCGTATATAAAAAGAAAAGATATCGAAGATAGAAAAGATATCGAAAAAATAAAGGACGGGGTTCGAAATCCTGTGGAAATTGGCCGCTTCTCAAAATGTTTTAATTTCGATGTAGATCGACAGAGAATTCAATTCTATGTAGTTTTCTGTATTTTTCTTAGCTTCGAAATGCATTTTGTTGCAAAAAGAAATTATAATAAATTACTAACGTTTTGGACGTTGAATTGCCCTTAATAATTTATTTTCGATAGGAAATGGGAGTGGAACTTTTTTCAAATATACCAATCGATAGAGCTCGACGAGCTGATCAAGAATATGTGCGAAAGAACAAAGTATGTTGTCTTGAACCTAAGTTGAGTCAAAGCATACGTTAGCGCGCTCTATTCATTTTAAAATAAAAGTGAGCATTAAAATTAAAATTTCACGTAGCCACATAAACTAAGTACGTTCATTCTCAATTCTAGAAGTCTTGTTACTTTTACAGAAGTTCTTGAATAATTAAACTCTATTCCGTTCGTATGACGCTTTTCAGCGTTGAAATAGTAAACTGACCACTGCATATTATTCCTTTTAAAGTTAGATAAATCGGACTAGAGATGTGCAACCCAACCCGACCCGAAGGCTGGGTACGGGTACGAAAGCGTCGGGTACGGGTACAAAGTTGTCGGGTACGGGTTAGATTTTTTTAGACTATACCTGAGGAAATCTAATGTTATTAGTTCGCTTTAGTCTCGAAGTTATAAATCAAATAAGAAAATATATAACAAACTGACATATTCATTTTTCTGTGAGGTGCTTTGTTTCATATGTCAAACGATATCGGTCGAAAAATGTAAGTGGGTTTATATAACAAACAATAACGTATATGTTC